TTGGATTTTAGGGGGGATTTTGGGGCTTTTTAATTGGATTTTAGGGAGGATTTTGGGCCAATTTAGATGGAACTTAGGGAAGATTTTGGGGAGGATTTAATTGGATTTTAGGGGAGATTTTGGGGAGGACTTGATTGGATTTTAGGGGGGATTTTGGGGCTTTTTAATTGGATTTTAGGGAGGATTTTTGGGCCAATTTAGATGGAACTTAAGGAAGATGTTGGGGAGGATTTAATTGGATTTTAGGGGAGATTTTTGGGAGGACTTAATTGGATTTTAGGGGGGATTTTGGGGCTTTTAAATTGGATTTTAGGGAGGATTTTGGGCCAATTTAGATGGAACTTAGGGAAGATTTTGGGGAGGATTTAATTGGATTTTAGGGGAGATTTTGGGGAGGACTTGATTGGATTTTAGGGGGGATTTTGGGGCTTTTTAATTGGATTTTAGGGAGGATTTTGGGCCAATTTAGATGGAACTTAGGGAAGATTTTGGGGAGGATTTAATTGGATTTTAGGGGAGATTTTGGGGAGGACTTGATTGGATTTTAGGGGGATTTTGGGGCTTTTTAATTGGATTTTAGGGAGGATTTTGGGCCAATTTAGATGGAACTTAGGGAAGATTTTGGGGAGGATTTAATTGGATTTTAGGGGAGATTTTGGGGAGGACTTAATTGGATTTTAGGGGGATTTTGGGGCTTTTTAATTGGATTTTAGGGAGGATTTTGGGCCAATTTAGATGGAACTTAGGGAAGATTTTTGGGGAGGATTTAATTGGATTTTAGGGGAGATTTTTGGGGAGGACTTGATTGGATTTTAGGGGGGATTTTGGGGCTTTTTAATTGGATTTTAGGGAGGATTTTGGGCCAATTTAGATGGAACTTAGGGAAGATTTTGGGAGGATTTAATTGGATTTTAGGGGAGATTTTGGGAGGACTTGATTGGATTTTAGGGGGGATTTTGGGGCTTTTTAATTGGATTTTAGGGAGGATTTTGGGCCAATTTAGATGGAAACTTAGGGAAGATTTTGGGAGGATTTAATTGGATTTTAGGGGAGATTTTGGGGAGGACTTGATTGGATTTTAGGGGGGATTTTGGGGCTTTTTAATTGGATTTTAGGGAGGATTTTGGGCCAATTTAGATGGAACTTAGGGAAGATTTTGGGAGGATTTAATTGGATTTTAGGGGAGATTTTGGGGAGGACTTGATTGGATTTTAGGGGGGATTTTGGGGCTTTTTAATTGATTTTAGGGAGGATTTTGGGCCAATTTAGATGGAACTTAGGGAAGATTTTGGGGAGGATTTAATTGGATTTTTAGGGGAGATTTTGGGGAGGACTTGATTGATTTTAGGGGGGATTTTGGGGCTTTTTAATTGGATTTTAGGGAGGATTTTGGGCCAATTTAGATGGAACTTAGGGAAGATTTTGGGAGGATTTAATTGGATTTTAGGGGAGATTTTGGGGAGGACTTAATTGGATTTTAAAGGGGTTTTTGGGCCGATTTAGATGGAATTTAGGGAGGATTTTAGGCCAATTTAATGGGATTTTCGAGGGAATTTTGGCCCAATTCATTTGCGTTTTGGGGTGCTGTGACTTTGGGGTGATTCCTATGGATTTAGGGTTTTTCTGACTCCCTCTCCCCCATTTTTTTGGGGTCCCCAGCGAGGGGGGGGAGCCCCCCTGCATCACCTCGGCCGGGTTCCAGTTCCTGCTGCTCGACACCCCCGCCCAGCTCTGGTTCTTCATCCTGCAGTACCTCAGGGGGGCCGAGGTTCAGGGAGCCCAAAATCCCCCAAAATTCGGGTTCGGGGGAGCCCCAAACCCCCCAAAATTTGTGGGGTCCCCAAAAAAACCCCGAATTCGCCTCAAAAATGAATCCTGGGGTTGGGGGTTTTGTCATCCAGGGGGTGCCGGGAGGGAAATCCCGAAATTTTGGGGGTCCCGAAATTTGGGGGGGGGGGGGGTCCAAAATTTGAGGGAGGGGTCCCAAGATTTGGGGGGGGGTCCTAAAATGTGGGGGAGTTCTCAAAAATTCTGGGGATTTCTCCAAATTTTGGGGTTTTTTTCACCCAAATTTGAAGCTTTTTCCCGATCTGGGAAGTTCCCAAAATTGGGGGGGGGGGGGTCCCAAAATTTGGGGTCTCAAAATCTGGGGGGGCGGTCCCAAGATTTGGGGGGGGTCCCAAAATCGGGGGGGGGTCCCAAAATTTTGGGGAGTTCCCTAAAATTTGGGTTTTTCCCCCAAATTTGAGGCTTTTCCCCAATCTGAGGAAGTACCCAAAATTGGGGGGGGGGGTCCGAAATTTGGGGGGGGGTCCAGAAAATCTGAGGGGGTCCCCAAGTTTGGGAGGGTCCCCCAAATCTGTGGATTTCCCAACAATTCTGGGGGATTTCGCCAAAATTTTGGGGTTTTTTTCCCCAAATTTGGGGGTTTTGCTTAAATCTGAAGAATTTGCCCAAATCTGGGGGGTCCCAAAAATCCCCAAATTTGGGTTGGGGGTCCCCAAAAATCTCCCTGTGCCCCTCCCCAGGCGCGGGGGATGGACCTGGTGGAGATCCTGTCCTTCCTGTTCCAGCTGAGCTTCTCCACACTGGGAAAGGTGGGACTGGGATGGACTTGGGACAAACTGGGAATGGAGTTATGGATACTGGGAGGGACTGGGACAAACTGGGATAAACTGGAATGGACTGGGAGGGACTGGGATGGGATTGGGTTAAACTGGGATGAACTGGGAGAGGACCTGGAGGAGATCCTGTCCTTCCTGTTCCAGCTGAGCTTCTCCACACTGGGAAAGGTGGGACTGGGATGGACTGGGACAAACTGGGAATGGATTGGGAGGGACTGGGACAAACTGGGATAAACTGGGAATGGAGTTATGGGTACTGGAGGGACTGGGATAAACTGGGAATGGAGTTATGGGTACTGGGAGGGACTGGGACAAACTGGGAATGGAGTTATGGATACTGGGAGGGACTGGGATAAACTGGGAATGGAGTTATGGATACTGGGGTGGACTGGGACAAACTGGGAATGGAGTTATGGATACTGGGAGGGACTGGGACAAACTGGGAGTGGAGTTATGGATACTGGGATGGACTGGGATAAACTGGGAATGGAGTTATGGATACTGGGGTGGACTGGATAAACTGGGAATGGAGTTATGGATACTGGGAGGGACTGGGACAAACTGGGAGTGGAGTTATGGATACTGGGATGGACTGGGATAAACTGGGAATGGAGTTATGGATACTGGGGTGGACTGGGATAAACTGGGAATGGAGTTATGGATACTGGGAGGGGACTGGGACAAACTGGGAATGGAGTTATGGATACTGGGAGGGGACTGGGACAAACTGGGAATGGAGTTATGGATACTGGGATGGACTGGGACAAACTGGGAGTGGAGTTATGGATACTGGGAGGGACTGGGACAAACTGGGAGTGGAGTTATGGATACTGGGATGGACTGGGATAAACTGGGAATGGAGTTATGGATACTGGGGTGGACCTGGGATAAACTGGGAATGGAGTTATGGATACTGGGATGGACTGGGACAAACTGGGAGTGGAGTTATGGATACTGGGTGGACTGGATAAACTGGGAATGGAGTTATGGATACTGGGGTCGACTGGGATAAACTGGGAGTGGAGTTATGGATACTGGGAGGGACTGGGACAAACTGGGAGTGGAGTTATGGATACTGGGATGGACTGGGATAAACTGGGAATGAGTTATGGATACTGGGGTGGACTGGGATAAACTGGGAATGGAGTTATGGATACTGGGAGGGACTGGGACAAACTGGGAATGGAGTTATGGATACTGGGGTGGACTGGGATAAACTGGGAATGGAGTTATGGATACTGGGAGGGACTGGGACAAACTGGGAGTGGAGTTATGGATACTGGGATGGACTGGGATAAACTGGGAATGGAGTTATGGATACTGGGAGGGACTGGGACAAACTGGGAGTGGAGTTATGGATACTGGGATGGACTGGGACAAACTGGGAATGGAGTTATGGATACTGGGGTGGACTGGGACAAACTGGGAATGGAGTTATGGATACTGGGAGGGACTGGGACAAACTGGAGTGGAGTTATGGACACTGGGATGGACTGGGACAAACTGGGAATGGATTGGGAGGGACTGGGACAAACTGGAATGGAGTTATGGATACTGGGATGGACTGGGACAAACTGGGAATGGTGTTATGGATACTGGGGTCGACTGGGATAAACTGGGAGTGGAGTTATGGATACTGGGAGGGACTGGGGACAAAACTGGGAGTGGAGTTATGGATACTGGATGGACTGGGATAAACTGGGAATGGAGTTATGGATACTGGGGTGGACTGGGATAAACTGGGAATGGAGTTATGGATACTGGGAGGGACTGGGACAAACTGGGAGTGGAGTTATGGATACTGGATGGACTGGATAAACTGGGAATGGAGTTATGGATACTGGGGTGGACTGGGATAAACTGGGAATGGAGTTATGGATACTGGGAGGGACTGGGACAAACTGGGGAATGGAGTTATGGATACTGGGAGGGACTGGGACAAACTGGGAATGGAGTTATGGATACTGGGATGGGACTGGGACAAACTGGGAATGGAGTTATGGATACTGGGAGGGACTGGGACAAACTGGGAATGGAGTTATGGATACTGGGAGGGACTGGGACAAACTGGGAATGGAGTTATGGATACTGGGAGGGACTGGGATAAACTGGAGTGGAGTTATGGATACTGGGAGGGACTGGGATAAACTGGGAATGGAGTTATGGATACTGGAGGGACTGGGACAAACTGGGAGTGGAGTTATGGATACTGGGATGGACTGGGACAAACTGGGAATGGATTGGGAGGGACTGGGGACAAACTGGGATTAAACTGGGAATGGAGTTATGGATACTGGGATGGACTGGGATAAACTGGGAATGGAGTTATGGATACTGGGAGGGACTGGGACAAACTGGGAATGGAGTTATGGATACTGGGAGGGACTGGGACAAACTGGGAATGGAGTTATGGATACTGGGGTGGACTGGGACAAACTGGGAATGGAGTTATGGATACTGGGGAGGGACTGGGATAAACTGGGAATGGAGTTATGGATACTGGGATGGACTGGGACAAACTGGGAGTGGAGTTATGGATACTGGGGTGGACTGGGACAAACTGGAATGGAGTTATGGATACTGGGAGGGACTGGGATAAACTGGGAGTGGAGTTATGGATACTGGGATGGACTGGGACAAACTGGGAGTGGAGTTATGGATACTGGGAGGGACTGGGATAAACTGGAATGGAGTTGTGGATACTGGGAGGGACTGGGACAAACTGGGAATGGAGTTATGGATACTGGGATGGACTGGGAAAAACTGGGAGTGGAGTTATGGATACTGGGAGGGACTGGGACAAACTGGGAATGGAGTTATGGATACTGGGAGGGACTGGGACAAACTGGGAATGGAGTTATGGATACTGGGATGGACTGGGAAAAACTGGAGTGGAGTTATGGATACTGGGAGGGACTGGGACAAACTGGGAATGGAGTTATGGATACTGGGAGGGACTGGGACAAACTGGGAGTGGAGTTATGGATACTGGGAGGGACTGGGACAAACTGGGAGTGGAGTTATGGATACTGGGAGGGACTGGGACAAAACTGGAATGGGGTTATGGATACTGGGATGGACCTGGGATAAACTGGGAATGGAGTTATGGATACTGGGAGGGACTGGGGACAAACTGGGAATGGAGTTATGGATACTGGGGTGGACTGGGACAAACTGGGAGTGGAGTTATGGATACTGGGATGGACTGGGACAAACTGGGAGTGGAGTTATGGATACTGGGATGGACTGGGATAAACTGGGAGTGGAGTTATGGATACTGGGAGGGACTGGGACAAACTGGGAGTGGAGTTATGGATACTGGGATGGACTGGGACAAACTGGGAGTGGAGTTATGGATACTGGGAGGGACTGGGATAAAACTGGGAGTGGAGTTATGGATACTGGGAGGGACTGGGACAAAACTGGGAATGGGTTATGGATACTGGGATGGACTGGGATAAACTGGGAATGGAGTTATGGATACTGGGAGGGACTGGGACAAACTGGGAATGGAGTTATGGATACTGGGATGGACTGGGACAAAACTGGGAGTGGAGTTATGGATACTGGGATGGACTGCGAGCAAACTGGGAGAGACTGGGATGGGACTGGGATGGGATTGGGTTAAACCGGGAGGGACTGGGAGGGACTGGGAGTGGGGTTACGGACACTGGGAGGGACTGGGATAAACTGGATAAACTGGGAGGGACTGGGAGTGGAATTATGGACACTGGGATGGACTGGGAGCAAACTGGGAGGGACTGGGATGGGACTGGGTTTAAACTGGAATGGACTGGGAGGGACTGGGATGGGACTGGGAATGGAGTTATAGATACTGGGATGGACTGGGAGCAAACTGGGAGGGACTGGGATGGGACTGGGTTAAACTGGGAGGGACAGGGATGGGACTGGGAATGGAGTTATGGATACTGGGAGCAAACTGGGAGGGACTGGGATGGGATTGGGTTAAACTGGGAGGGACTGGGACGGACTGGGAATGGAGTTATGGGCACTGGGAGGGACTGGGAGGGGACTGGGGGGCACTGGTTTGAACTGGGATGAGCTGGGTGTGCACTGGGAGCGTTCCAGGACTATTCCTGGATGATCGAGAATGCTGCGGCGGTTACTGGGAATAACTGGGATGAACTGGGAGCTCACTGGGAGCTCACTGGTGCAAAACTGGTCCGAACTGGTCCGAAACTGGTGCGAACTGGTCCATACTGGTCCATACTGGTGCGAACTGGTGCAGGATTACTCGGTGGAGGGCATGAGCGAGTCGCTGCTGACGTTCCTGCAGCACCTGAGGGAGTTCGGGCTGGTGTTCCAGAGGAAGGTGAACTGGGAGCACTGGGGGGGAAACAGGGGATACTGGGAGCACTGGGAGGGACTGGGAGGGACTGGGAATGGACTGGGAGGGACTGGGAGGGACTGGGAGGGACTGGGAATGGACTGGGAGGGACTGGGAGGGACTGGAGCACTGGGAGGGACTGGGAGGGACTGGGAGGGACTGGGAGGGACTGGGAGGGACTGGGAATGGACTGGGAGGGACTGGGAGGGACTGGGAGCACTGGGAGGGACTGGGAGGGACTGGGAGCACTGGGAGGGACTGGGATGGACTGGGAGGGGACTGGGAGGGACTGGGATGGACTGGGAGGGAATTGGGAGGGACTGGGAGGGACTGGGAGGGACTGGGATGGACCTGGGAGCACTGGAAATGGACTGGGAGGGACTGGGAGGGACTGGGAGGGACTGGGATGGACTGGGATGGACTGGGAGGGACTGGAGGGACTGGGATGGACTGGGAAGGAACTGGGAGGGACACAGGGGACACTGGAAGGAACTGGGAGCACTGGGAGGGACTGGGAGGGAAATAGGGGACACTGGGAGGGACATTTGGGGACACCGGGAGGGACTGAGAGGGCATTGGGGGGGACACTGGGGACACTGGGAGGGGACTGGGAGGTGCCGGGACGGGGGACACTTGGGGACATTGGGGACACTTGGGGACAACAGGGACAGCTCCTGGGACACTTGGGGACATTGGGGACACTTGGTGCCACCAGGGACAGCACCTGGGACATTTGGGGACATTTAGGGACACTTGGGGACACCAGGGACAGCACCTGGGACACTTGGGGACACTTGGGACACCAGGGACAGCTCCTGGGGCACTTGGGGACATTTGGGGACACCAAGGGCAATTCCTGGGGACACTCAGGGACACTCAAGGACAGCACCTGGGACACTTGGGGACACTTGGGGACAGTTCCTGGGGACATCTGGGGACAGTTCTTGGCCCCTTGGGGACATTTGGGGACGTTGCGGTGACATCGTCCCCCGTCCCCAGCGGAAGTCGCGTCGGTTCTACCCGACCCGCCTGGCCATCGCGCTGGCCTCGGGGGACGGCGGGGACATCGCTGGGGACATCGCTGGGACATCGCTGGGGACAGCGGGGGACATCGCTGGGGACAGAGCCCGACGGGCACGGCTTCATCCTGGTGGAGACCAACTACCGCATCTACGCCTACACAGGTGGCACTGGGGGACACCCTGGGGACACTGGGGACACCTGGGGACACCTTGGGGGACACTGGGGACACCTTGGGGACAGTCTGGGACAGCTTGGGGACAGCCTGGGACACCTTGGGGACACTGGGGACACCTTGGGGACAGTCTGGGACAGCTTGGGGACACCTTGGGGACACTGGGGACACCTTGGGGACACTGGGGACATCTTGGGGACAGCCTGGGACAGCTTGGGGACAGTCTGGGACACCTTGGGGACACCTGGGGACACCTTGGGGACACCTTGGGGACACCTTGGGACACTGGGGGACACCTTGGGGACAGCCTGGGACAGCTTGGGACAGCTTGGGGACACCTTGGGGACAGCCTGGGACACCTTGGGGACACCTTGGGGACACCTTGGGGACACCCTGGGGACACTGGGGGACACCTGGGGACACCTTGGGGACAGCCTGGGGACACCTGGGGGGACAACTTGGGACACCTGGGGACACCTGGGGACATCTTGGGGGACACCTTGGGGACAGCCTGGGACACCTTGGGGACACCTGGGACACCTGGGGACATCTTGGGGACAGCCTGGGACAGCTTGGGGACAGTCTGGGACAGCTTGGGGACACCTTGGGGACAGCCTGGACAGCTTGGGGACAGTCTGGGACAGCTTGGGGACACCTGGGGACACCTTGGGGACATCTTGGGGACAGCCTGGGACAGCTTGGGGACACCTTGGGGACACCTTGGGGACACTGGGGGACACCTTGGGGACAGCCTGGGACAGCTTGGGGACACCTGGGGACACCTTGGGGACAGCCTGGGACACCTTGGGGACAGTCTGGGACAGCTTGGGGACACCCTGGGGACACTGGGGACATCTTGGGGACACCTTGGGGACAGCCTGGGACAGCTTGGGGACACCTTGGGGACACCTTGGGGACAGCTTGGGGACACCTTGGGGACACCTTGGGGACAGCTCTGTCACCCCCCTGTCACCCTTGGTCCCCCTTGTGTCTCAATGTCCCCATTAATGTCTCCAATTCTCTCAATGTCCCCCAGTGTCCCCCAATCACCCCAATGTCCCCAATGACCCCCATGTCCCCAGTGTCCCCAATCACCCCAATGTCCCCCAATGACCCCCATGTCCCCAAATGTCCCCAACGTCCCCATTAATGTCCTTAACCCCCAATGTCCCCAATCCCCAATGTCCCCAATACCCCATTGTCCCCAATGTCCCCATTAATGTCCCCCAATCCCCAATGTCCCCGATGATGTCCACAATGTCCCCATTAACGTCCCCAGTGATGTCCCCAATGTCCCCAACGTCCCCAATCCCCCCAATGCCCCCAATCCCCTCAATGTCCCCAATGTCCCCAATGTCCCCATTAATGTCCCCAATGTCCCCAATGCCCCCAATGTCCCCAATCCCTCAATGTCCCCAAATGTCCCCATTGTCCTCAATGTCCCCACTGTCCCCAATCCCCATAATGCCCCCAATCTCCTCAATGTCCCCAATGTCTCTCAATGTCCCCCAATCCCCCCAATGTCCCAGTGTCTCTCAATGTCCCCAATCCCCATTGTCCCACTGTCCCCAATGTCCCCAATGTCCCCAATCCCCCCAATGCCCCCAGTGTCTCTCAATGTCCCCAATCCCCATTGTCCCCACTGTCCCCCAATGTCCCCAATGTCCCCAATCCCCCCAATGCCCCCAGTGTCCCCGCTGTCCCCTGAATGTCCCCACCGGTGCCACCCCCAGACTCGGAGCTGCAGGTCGCCCTCATCGCGCTCTTCTCGGAGCTCCTCTATCGCTTCCCCAACCTGGTGGTGGCACAGGTGACAAGGGACAGCGTGCAGGCGGCCATCGCCAACGGCATCACCGCCGACCAGGTGACATTGGGGACAATGGGGACACTGGGGACACTGGGGACATTGAGGGGATTGGGGGACACTGGGGGGATTGGGGACACTGGGGACATTGGGGACAGCGTGCAGGCGGCCATCGCCAACGGCATCACCGCCGACCAGGTGACATTGGGGGACAATGGGGACATTGGGGACACTGGGGGGATTGGGGACACTGGGGACATTGGGGGACAGCGTGCAGGCGGCCATCGCCAACGGCATCACCGCCGACCAGGTGACATTGGGGACAATGGGGACACTGGGGGACAATGGGGACATTGGGGACACTGGGGACACTGGGGATGCTGGGGACATTGAGGGGATTGGGGACACTGGGGGGACTGGGGACATTGGGGACATTGAGGGATTGGGGACGTTGGGGACATTGGGGACAGCGTGCAGGCGGCCATCGCCCAACGGCATCACCGCCGACCAGGTGACATTGGGGACACTGGGGACACTAGGGACATTGGGGACACTGGGGACATTGGGGACATTGGGGACATTGGGGACACTGGGGACATTGGGGGACAGCGTGCAGGCGGCCATCGCCAACGGCATCACTGCTGACCAGGTGACACTGGGGACATTGGGGACATTGGGGACACTGGGGACACTGGGGACAATGGGGACATTGATGGGGACATTGGGGACAATGGGGACATTGGGGACAATGGGGACACTGGGGACATTGGGGACAATGGGGGACATTGATGGGGACACTGGAGACATTGGGGGACACATTGGGGACACTCGGGGGATTGGGGACACAGGGGACATTGGGATTTGGGGACACTGGTGACACGGGGACACAGGGGACATTGGGATTTGGGGACACTGGTGACACGGGGACCACAGGGGGGACATTGGGATTTGGGGACACTGGTGACATTGGGGACACAGGGGGGACATTGGGATTTGGGGACACTGGTGACATTGGGGACACAGGGGACATTGGGATTTGGGGGACACTGGTGACACGGGGACACAGGGGGGACATTGGGATTTGGGGACACTGGTGACAGGGTGACACAGGGGGGACATTGGGATTTGGGGACACTGGGGGATTGGGGACACAGGGGGGACATTGGGATTGGGGACACTGGAGACATTGGGGACACATTGGGGACACTGGGGACATTGGGGACAGGGGGGACATTGGGATTTGGGGACACTGGTGACACGGGGACACAGGGGACATTGGATTTTGGGGACACTGGTGACACGGTGACACGGGTGCTGTCCCTCCCCCCCAGATCATTCACTTCCTGCGCACCCGCGCCCACCCCGCGATGGCCAAACAGGTGAGGGGACCCCAAAGGGGGTCCGCGAATCCTTTGGGGGGCTCCAAATCCATTCTGGGGGGGTCAAACAAATTTTGGGGGGTCCCAAATTCACCTGAGGGGGTCCCAAATCCTTTATGGGGGGTGGTCCCCAAATCCACCCGAGGGGTCCCCAAATCCTTTATGGGGGGTGGTCCCCAAATCCACCCGAGGGGTCCCAAATCTTTGGGGGGCCTGAGTTTGGGGATCCCAAATCCATTTTGGGGGGTCCCAAATCCATTTGGGGGATGGGGAGGGTCCCAAATCCTTCGGGAAGGGGGGAGGGGTCCAAAATCTTTTGGGGCATTCCAACTGTCCCCCTGTGTCCCTGTCCCCACTGTGTCCCTGTCCCCCACTGTGTCCCTGTCCCCTGTGTCCCCCACTGTCCCCCTGTGTCCCTGTCCCCACTGTGTCCCTGTCCCCACTGTGTCCCTGTCCCCTGTGTCCCCACTGTCCCCCTGTGTCCCTGTCCCCACTGTGTCCCTGTCCCCTGTGTCCCGTGTCCCCTGTGTCCCCACTGTCCCCCTGTGTCCCTGTCCCCCTGTATCCCCACCGTGTCCCCCTGTGTCCCTGTCCCCTGTGTCCCCACTGTGTCCCCCTGTGTCCCCTGTCCCCCTGTGTCCCCACCGTGTCCCCTGTGTCCCTGTCCCCTGTGTCCCCACTGTGTCCCCCCTGTGTCCCTGTCCCCTGTGTCCCCACCGTGTCCCCCTGTGTCCCCATTGTGTCCCCCCTGTGTCCCCTGTCCCCTGTGGTCCCCCACCGTGTCCCCCTGTGTCCCTGTCCCCTGTGTCCCCCACTGTGTCCCCCCTGTGTCCCCCACCGTGTCCCCTGTGTCCCCACTGTGTCCCCCTGTGTCCCCTGTGTCCCCACCGTGTCCCCTGTGTCCCTGTCCCCTGTGTCCCCCTGTGTCCCTGTCCCGTGTCCCCCACCGTGTCCCCTGTGTCCCCACCGTGTCCCCTGTGTCCCTGTCCCCTGTGTCCCCCACTGTCCCCCTGTGTCCCTGTCCCCTGTGTCCCCACTGTGTCCCTGGTCCCCCTGTGTCCCACTCCCCCATGTCCCTGTCCCTGAGTCCCCACAGTGTCCCTGTCCCCACAGTGTCCTGTCCCCACTGTGTCCCTGTCCCCACTGTGTCCCTGTCCCTGTCTCCATGGTGTCCCTGTCCCCATGTCCCCATTTCTGTCCCTGTCCCCTGCCTCCTGTGTCACTGTCCTGTCCCCGTGTCCCTGTCCCTGAGTCCCCACAGTGTCCCTGTCCCCACCGTGTCCTCGTCCTTGTCCCATGTCCCCATCCTGTCCCCTGTCCCCCTGTGTCCCTGTCCCTGTGTCCCCACTGTGTCCCTGTCCCCTGTATTCCCACCCTGTCCCCCTGTGTCCCTGTCCCTGTGTCCCCACCGTGTCCCCTCTGTCCCCCTGTCCCCCACCGTGTCCCCATGTCCCCACGGTGTCTCCCTGTCTGTGTCCCTGTCCCTGTCCCCACGGTGTCCCTATCTCTGTCCCTGTCCCCATGTCCCCACCATGTCCCTGTCCCCATATCCCTGTCCTTGTCCCCCACGGTGTCCCTATCTCTGTCCCTGTCCCCCATGTCCCCACCATGTCCCTGTCCCCCATATCCCTGTCCTTGTCCCCAATGTGTCCCTGTCCCCATATCCCTATGTCCCTGTGTCCCCACAGTGTCCCCTGTGTCCCCCAATGTGTCCCTGTCCCCATATCCCTGTCTATGTCCCTGTGTCCCCACAGTGTCCCCTGTGTCCCCAATGTGTCCCTGTCCCCCATATCCTGTCTATGTCCCTGTGTCCCCACAGTGTCCCCTGTGTCCCCAATGTGTCCCTGTCCCCATATCCCTGTCCTCATGATGTCCCCACGGTGTCCCTGTCTGTGTCCCTGTCCCTGTCCCCTGTGTCCCCACGGTGTCCCTGTCCCCATGTCCCCACGGTGTCCCACGGTGTCCCTGTCCTTGTCCCCACAGTGTCCCTATCTCTGTCCCTGTATCCATGTCCTTGTCCCCTCCTTGTCCCCACGGTGTCCCCACGGTGTCCCTGTCCCCTGTCCCCGTCCCTGGCCCCCCCCTGTGTCCCCTGTCCCCACGGTGTCCCTGTCCCCACGATGTCCCCCCGGTGTCCCCAGAGCCCGGTGCTGCCCCCGACCATCACGGACCAGATCCGGCTCTGGGAGCTCGAGCGGGACCGGCTGCGCTTCTCCGAGGGTCAGTGTCCCCAAGTGTCCCCAAGTGTCCCCAGGTGTCCCCAAAGTGTCCACAAAGTGTCCACAAAGTGTCCCTAAAGGGTCACCAGGGTGTCACCAAGGTGTCACCAAATGTCACCAAGGTGTCACCGAGGTCTAACCAGGCTGTCACCGGGGTATCCCCAGGGTGTCCCCAAATGTCACCAAAGTGTCACCAAGGTGTCATCGGGGTGCCCCCAGAGTGTCCCCTAAGTGTCCCCTGAGAGTTCTGAAAGTGTCCCCCAAGGGGGGAGGTGACACCCAGGCCATGTCCCCCAAACAGGGACGTGACACCAAAGTGGGGAGGTGACACCACAGGCCATGTCCCCAAAGGGGAGGCGACACCATGAGGATGTCCCAAAGGGGGAGGTGCCACCAAAGTGGGGAGGTGACACCCAGGCCATATCCCCAAGCGGAAAGGTGACACTCCGGCAATGTCCCCAAGGGGATAACGCCAATCCTGGCCATGTCCCCAAGGCAGGAGCTGCCCCCAAAGTGGTGCCACCCCCCCCCCCCCCCCCCCCCCGGCATTGTCCCCAAGCTGTCCCCTCCCCCCCAGGTGTGCTGTACAACCAGTTCCTGTCCCAGGTGGATTTCGAGGTGCTGCGGGACCACGCCCGCGCCCTGGGCGTGCTCGTGTTCGAGAACCCCGCGCGGCGCCTGATGGTCGTCACCCCCGCGGGGCACCCCGACGTCAAACGCTTCTGGAAGCGCCAGAAAACACAACGGCTGACCCCAAAAACCCCGAAATACCCAAAATCCCCGAGTTTGGGATCCCCAAAAATCACAAAATCCTCAAAATCGCCGAGTTTGGGGTCCAAAAAAGGCTAAAATCGCCAATTTTGGGGTTACTGGGCACCCCGACGTCAAACGCTTCTGGAAGCGCCAGAAACACAACGGCTGACCCCAAAAACCACAAAATACCCAAATTTGGGATCCTCAGAAACCCGAAAAAACCCCGAAATCCCGGAGTTTGGGGTCAAAAAATGGCTAAAATCGCCAATTTTGGGGTTTGGGGTTACTGGGGCACCCCGATGTCAAACGCTTCTGGAAGCACCAGAACCACAACGGCTGACCCAAAAACCCCAAAATACCCAAATTTGAGATCCTCAGAAACCCGAAAAACCCCGAAATCCGGAGTTTTGGGGTCAAAAAAAACCCCAAAATAACCAATTTTGGGGTTACTGGGGCACCCCAACATCAAACGCTTCTGGAAGTGCCAGAACCACAACGGCTGACCCCAAAAACCACAACATATCCAAAATCCCAGAGTTTGGGGTCTAAAAATCATCAAAATCCCAGAGTTTGGGGTCCAAAAATGGCTAAAATTGCCAGTTTGGGGTTATTGGGGCACCCTGGCGTCAAACACTTCTGGAAGCGCCAGAAAACACAACGGCTGACCCCAAAACCCACAAAATACCCAAAATCCCTGAGTTTGGGATCCCCAGAAACCCAAAATCCAGGAATTTGGAGTCAAAAATGGCCAAAATCACCAAATTTGGGGGTTCTGGGGCACCCCGACATCAAACGCTGCTGGAAGTGCCAGAAACGCAACAGCTGACCCCAAAAACCCCAAAATACCCAAATTTCCTGAGTTCAGGATCCCCAAAATCCCCCAAATTCTGGAGTTTGGGATCCCAAAAAACCCCAAAACCCCCCAAATTTGGGATGCTAAAAATCCCCCAAACCCCCAAATTTGAGGTCCTGGCTCCCATAATGTCTCCTGCAAATCCAAAATTTCGGATTTTTGGGGTTCCAAGTGCCCCAAAATTTGGGGTTCTGGCGCCTCAATCCCGCAAAACCCCAGGATTTGTAGGGACAAATGTAATTTTTTTTGTACAAACGCTGTTTTTTGCGAAGGTTTTTTGTAGTAAAAATGTTTTGAAACAAAAAAGTGAAGTTTGGAGAGCCTGAAGGGAAAGTAGATCCTTGGGATTTTGGGGGGTTTGGTGGGAAAAATCCCGGATTTTTGGGAGAAAAAAATTTAGGATTTTTGGGAATTTAAGACCGGGGGGAGTTGAGGGCGGGAGGGATTTCTGAGGGGAAAACCAAGGATTTAGAGATAATAGCTGCGAAATCTCGGGAGAGAGACGAGATTTATGGACTTTGGGGATAAAAATGGGGATTTTTGGGGATAAAAATCGGGAATTTTGGGGATAAAAATGGGAATTTCGGTCGCAATATCCCGAGTGCCGAATTGAAATTGCGCTTCTCACCGCGGCATTACGGTAAAGCCGCCATCGCTCTCGCGATATTACGGTAACCCCGTTAGTAGGCGCGGCCCTCGCTCTGATTGGCCGAGCCCTCCCGCCGCGCGCTCCCGGTGCGCTGATTGGCCGAGTCTTTCCCCGCGCTGTGCGCTGATTGGACGGCTCCGTGAGGGGGAGGAGAAGGAGGAGGAAGGAAAGCCGCAGCGGCCATGGCGGCCACGGCGGCCCTGGAGCGCTGGGTGTCCGGGCAGCTGCAGGAGCTGCTGGGCCTCAGCGCCCGCCATGTCCCCCGCCTTCCTGGTGGCGCTGGCGCGGCGCAGCCGGAGCCTGGAGGAGCTGCTGGAGCGGCTGCGCGAGACCGAGGGCCCTGCGCGTGGAGGAGCCGCGCGTGCGCGAGTTCGCGAGCCAGCTGTGGGACAAGGTGGGCGGGAAAACCGTGAGGGGAGAGGGGGAAGGGGGCGGGGCTTGTCCGTCAGGGGCGAAAGTGGGAGGGGGCGGGACTTGTGTGTGAGGGGAGAGTGGGCGGGGCTTTCGCTCATGGGGGAGAGTGGGCGGGACTTGTTTGTGAGGGTGAGTGGGCGGGGCTTGTGTGAGGGGAAGTCGCTTTGTATGGAAATGGAGGCGTGGCCTGAGGGTGTGGGCGCGGTTTAAATGCACCATGTTTTGGTGCTGAGGGCGTGGCCAATGTGGAAAGGGTGGGGCTTGGCAAGGTGTGGTCAGGAGGGGGCGTGGTTTAACAGAACTTTTAAGATTCTATCACCACAAGTGGGTGTGGCTTCTACACAGAGCAGCCAATCATGCTGAGCTCTGGCTCGCAGTGGGCGTGGACATTTAAAGGTGTGGTCAAGTGGGTGTGGCCATATTAGGTGTGGCCAAGTGGGTGTGTCCAAGTGGGTGGTGGCCGTTTTTGGTGTAAGCCAATTTGGGTGTGGTTTAATGGGTTTGTCCATTTGGGGGTGTGGTTAAGTGGGTGTGGCCATTTTGGGGTGTGGTTAAATGGGCGCGTCCTGACCCCGCCCACCCCCCAGGTGCCCCGAGAAGCCCCCCGGGAGCCCCCGGGCGCGCGGCCGAGCGGGCGGCGCTGGAGCTGCAGCGCCAGAAACCGCGGCTACCGATTGGTGGAGGAGCGACGAGGAGGAGGGGCCAGGCCCCGCCCACAGCGACCGCGCCCAGGACCGAGCCACGCCCCCGACGGCGACACCTGAGGCGACGTCACCGCTCCGAGTCCCCCCCCGAGACCCCCGCGGCAGAGCCCTCGCCCCCACCGTGAGTTCAGAGGGGTATTTTGGGGTGAAATCACCAATTTTGGCGTCCCCCAACCCATTTTCCCCCTCCCCCAAGGCCCCCCAAGCCCCCCGAGGAGCCGGAGGAGGAGTGGGAGGCGTCGGAGCGGGAGCGGCTGCGGGACCTGCGCGAGCGCGACGCCTTCGCCGAGCGCCTGCGGCGCCGGGACCGGGACCGGGGGGCCAAGGGCAGCTCCAAGGTGGGCTTTGGGGGGGGGTTTGTGGGGGTCTGAGGGGGGTTTGAGGGGGATTTGGGGGGTCCTTGAGGGGTTTGAGGGGGGTTTGGGGGGGATCCTGGGAGGGTTTGGGGGGTCCTTGAGGGGTTCTGGGGGAGTTTAGGGGGACTCGGGGAGGGTCTCAGGGGGGGTTTGAGGGGTCTTTGGGGCTGGGGAGACCCGAGAGGACAGCAAGGGTGGGGTTTGGGGGAATTCTTGAGGGCTTTTAGGGGGGTTTGAGGGGTTCTGGGGGTGATTTGAGGGGTCTGAGGAGGATTTGGGAGGTCCCAGGGCGGATTTGGGGGGTTTGAGGGGTCCGTGGGAGGGTTTGAGGAATCCTTGGGGGGATTTGATGGGTTCTTAGGGGGGGTTTGAGGGGTTCTTGGGGGGTGTCTGGGGGGATTTGAGGGGTCTTAGGGTTTTTTGAGGGGTTCCTGGGGAGATTTTGGGGGATTTGGGGGGGTTTGATGGCTTCTGGGGGCATTTGGGTGATCCTGAGGGGACTCCAAGGTGGGTTTGGAGGGGTTTGGGGGGCTCCTGCCTGGGTTTGGGTGGGATTTGAGGGGTTCTGAGGGGGATTGGAGGTGCCCCCCATTTCCTCACCCCGTTTTCTCTCTCCAGGCCTACGAAGAAGCCCAAAAACGCCTCAAAAATGGCCGAGGAGGAGCAGAAAGCCATGGTGAGAGCGCGGCCAGAACCCCAAAATCCTCGTTTCCGCTTTTTTTCCCCATTTCTCCCCAATTTCCCCAAATCCTGGAGCTGTGGAAGTGTTTCCAGTACGTGTACCTGCCCATTTCACCCCATTTTAAAGCCATTTTAATGCCATTTTTTTCTCATTTTAATGCGTTTTTTTCCCATTTCAATGCCATTTTTCCCCCGTTTTCTCCCCGGATCCCAGAGCTGCGCAAAGCGCTCCCACCGCGAGCACCTGCCCATTTCACCCCATTGTACTCCATTTTAATGCCCTTTTTTTTCCCATTTTAATGCCATTTTTCCCCATTTTTTCACCATTTTACCCCATTTCCCCGGATCCCCGAGCAGCGCAAGCACTCCCGCCGCGAGCACCTGCCCATTTCATCCCATTTTACCCCATTTTAATGCCATTTTTTCTCATTTTAACATATTTCTTTCCCATTTTAACGTCATTTTTTCACCATTTTCCCCCGTTTTCTCCCCAGATCCCGGAGCTGCGCAAGCGCTCCCACCGCGAGCACCTGCCCATTTCACCCCATTGTACTCCATTTTAATGCCGTTTTTTTTCCCATTTTAATGCCATTTTTCCCCCATTTTTTCACCATTTTCCCCCATTTCCCCGGATCCCCGAGCAGCGCAAGCGCTCCCACCGCAAAGCACCTGCCCATTTCACCCCATTTTACCCCATTTTAATGCCATTTTTTCTCATTTTAACATATTTTTTTTCCCATTTAACGTCATTTTTTCACCATTTTACCCCGTTTTCTCCCCAGATCCCGGAGCTGCGCAAGCGCTCCCGCCGCGAGTACCTGGCCATTTCATCCCATTTTACCCCATTTTAATGCCGTTTTTTCCCATTTTAATGCCATTTTTCCCCATTTTTTCCCCATTTTCCCCCATTTCCCCAGTCCCCCGAGCAGCGCAAGCGCTCCCACCGCGAGCACCTGCCCATTTCATCCCATTTTACCCCATTTTAATGCCATTTTTTCTCATTTTAACATATTTTTTTCCCATTTTAACGTCATTTTTTCACCATTTTACCCCGTTTTCTCCCAGATCCCGGAGCTGCGCAAGCGCTCCCGCCGCGAGTACCTGCCCATTTCACCCCATTGTACTCCATTTTAATGCCGTTTTTTTCCCATTTTAATGCCATTTTTCCCCATTTTTTCACCATTTTCCCCCGTTTTCTCCCCAGATCCCGGAGCTGCGGAAGCGCTCCCGCCGCGAGTACCTGGCCAAGCGCGAGCGGAGAAGCTGGAGGAGCTGGAGCAGGAGATCCAGGACGAGGAGCTGCTCTTCGGGGAGGAGGCGCTGACGGCGCCCGAGCGGCGCGAGCTGCGCTACAAGCGGCGCCTGCGCGACCTGGCCCGCGACTACAAACGGGCCGGGGCCCGCGAGGAGATGGAGAGGAGCGGCCGCTACCACATCCC